TCCAGAAGTTCCCAACAAAAGAAAAACTACGGTTTACTGTGGATGTATCCCCTCCAAGAGGCAGTGTGTTCTACAATGGACCCATTTGCCTTGGCCAAAAAAAAAAAAAATGCTTTCTAAACTGGCTTTGAGAATATCATGTTAAAAAGTTAAACGTTTGCCCCAAAGAACGTTGTCCTTTCCTACCAGAGCCCAATTGTCTTTCATTGTTTGCAATCAAAAGTCCACCCCATAGTCCAGCACATTACCCCCTCCCTACAAAGACACATTATCAGGCGGCTGCGAAGCCTGTGAGTCATGGTGTTGGACAAGCATGCTGACTGTCCCATGGACTGCCTAAAGAATTAACAAGTGTGTCTCAAAGGAAACACAGCCAGAGTGCTCCTTAGAGGTCAGGATGGTGACACTTCATTGCACATACTTCAGGCATGTTGGGAGAGGGGACCAGTCCTTGGAGAAAGACAGCATGCTGGGGAAGATGGAAGGCCAGGAAAAGAATGAGAAGTCCTCAGCAAGACGGACCTACACAGCAACTCTAGCAATGGGTTGGAGCAAATCAGAGCTCGTGAAGGAGGAAGACGAGGAGGAGAGGGTGACATTCAAATCTGTTGTTCACAGGGTTGCCACAGATTGTAGTTGACATGACAGCTCTTAACAACAATAACCTGAGGGTTGACAAACCCAGCCCTGCTCTTAGTGAAACTGATGAAAACTGACAAACTTCCGACCCAAAAGGCAGAGGAAGAGAATGTTTCTGTCCTTTCTGTGAGCTCTGAGTCACATCTCAGGGTTCCTCTTTGGTGTTCTCCCTGTGATATCTACAGAGGCAGGGAAAGGATGCTGCCTGTGGTAGGCTGCCAACATGCAGCAGGCAATGTGAATCAAGGGATGAATTATTAGGAGTATGGATTTGGGGGTGAAAGTGCATGAATTGAACCCCCACAACTGCTGTTTACCCTCCTGAGCCTTCTTTTACTTAACAACAACAAAATATATCATAACAGTATTTCTTGCATTGACATGTTAGGTGTCATCAAAGTGACTTAAAGTAGCCCTATGAACAATAGATCTGAACCTCTTTTTATCGAGTGCCATCACCATAATCACTGCTTTGCTCTCACCCATTTCTACAGGATCTGTGTCAATCCGTCTTGCTGAGAGTCTTACTTTCTTCCCAGACCCTCCACCTTTCCCATCACGATGTCTTTTTCCAAGGACTGGCCCCTCTTCACAACATACCCAAAGTATGTGTGATTAAGTTTACCATCCATGTCTCCAAGAAGCTCCCTGGATGCTCTTCCTCCCAATCAGATCTGTCCTGACTTGTTAGGAGGTTTAAGTTACATGGTCCTTGTAGCTTGGTTACCAAATAGTAAGCATTCAATACAGATTATGACTTGTTATCCTAAATGAGAGAATATCTACAAGAAGAAAAAAGAAGATACCTGTAATCAGATTCACTTAAATGATGATAAGGGGAGTAAACCAAAAAGGAAAACACAAAGTTATAGAGAGATAGAGACTGGAGAGATCCATCAGGAGGGAAAGGGACAGCTCAAATGAAAACACTGTGAGCATCTCCCAGAACAATCTTTTTATTACAGTATACGAGTCTTACAACAGCATATAAAATGCCAGCTTTCCAACCGAAAGAAAGCTCCTGCCCCCCATTAAAATTTCCATTTAAAAAACTGTTCTGAGCAAGAACTCAAGTTGAATAAAACAAAGACAATGACTCTGCAGGCAGAATTATGTGAAAGGTTGGGCTATTATTTCAAACCATAGAAGAAAATATCATTGAGTCTAAAGTGCCTTTTAGACTGGATCGAACAACACTTTTAATCTGATGTAATTTATTCCCTAAATGCCTTTTGGGTGTACTGGGGTGAGATCATAAACACGTAACAGAGCATAAAGAATAGAATAAAAATTTTCCATCTGCAACAAGATTCCCTATGACAATTCGTCCACTGTGTACAGATCTGTTGCAGATCGTCAAGAAAGAGTTTGCTTCAGACAGGCATATAATTTAACATTGTCACCAATGTCACCTGCCATAATCTCACCACATCTTGGAAATTAGTTGAGCCTGAAAGACATGTATTTTGTACTCACTTAACAAATTATAGCAAGTATTTAGAGCAAGCAGATGCTATTAAGGGTGTTTGCACCTTACCAAGTTCCCAAGGGGATTCATACAGCAACCTAAACCACTGGTATCTTCAGGAATTCAGATTTAAAGATTCATTTCAACTAGTTGCTACCAAGCCAATTCAAAGTCACAATGTTCCTACGTGCGTCTGACTGTCATCATGCTCTGGTGGCCTGGGGGTAAGAAGCTGAGTTGAAAGCGAAAGAGCACACCATTCAAATCCACCAGGTGCTCTGCAGAAGAAGAGGGGGCGATCTCCTCCTGGGGGATTTACAGCCTCTGAAAACTCTGCCAGAGGGTCAGCTATGGGTCAGTCCTCACTCAACAAGCAACACACAACAACATATGGTTTCAGTGACTGATTTTCCAGACTAAGTCCCCCAGGACTTTTGTTAAGACACCTCCTAGTGGGCTTGAATAACATACCTACGACCTAGCATCACACCTCCTAGTGGGCTATCTTTCAGTTAGCACCAAGCATGTTAACAGGCAGTATCTTCCTGTTGTCCAACTTAGCCCTTCATGAGTCAAACATAACAAACAACAAAGCATCGCCGTCAAGTCAGAACTGCCTTAGAGCCAACCCTCTGGTGGTTTTTTCAGAGACATGGGAGGAGATTGCCCTTCGTTCTCCCATGGAGTAACTGATGGAATCGAACCACCAGCCTTTGAGTCGATAACAAAACTCCTACTCACAAGGCCGCTAGAGCTCCTTGTACACATTCAAGGCAGTCATCATTCCCCACACGCTTTAGACACACCTGCTTACAAGAGCACATACTTAATTCAGGAAGAGTAGTAAGTCTTTCCCCTCTTCAGGAGTGTTCTACAGTCTGTATAGCTTTGAGATGGGGGTTTGCACTAAAACAAACAAACAGAAAAGGTCAAGCAACAAAAAAAGTAGGGTAAAACGGTCACGTGTGAGCATCCTACCCACATTGCCTCTGACGAAGAAGCGTCTAATACTATTGGAAGGATTTTTTTAATCCACATTATAGCATATCCTTCTCAAAGAACCACATGCCTTCAATTATAGGATGTGGAAGGATATTGGAAGCACAAAACGTTACAACAACAACAACCAAAAAAAAAAAATAACAACAACAAAACTTCTGTTAAAGCTTAAGCTTCTGGAACAAACTCCAGAAGCTTAAGTGTCAGTTGTATGCAATCTAAGCAGTTGGAAACAATAAAAGTTCAATTTTTTTTTTTAAAAAAGTATTTTGCAGAAGCGAATCAGTCAGTTATATTGGGGAACTTCTTTGGGATTGTAAAAGGAAAAAGTGGGGTTTCCCCTCATTATACTTGATCTTGTCTGGCAGAGGATAGTATACAGTGCCCAGCTCTGAAAATGACTGGTACACAGGGAGCCCTATCAGAGGTCCCTGATAAACCTGCCAAACAGGAACCCCAAGAGGGTTTCCACTTTAAGAAGGCGTCATTAAATGGGGCTCAGTACAATCTGAAGGGTTATCAATACAAAGAGGAGTTATTCTCAGAGAAGCGCTCATCCTAAAAGGTCATCAGCTCCCTCCTTGACTCGTTACTGAGCTTAAGGGCTGACTCATAAGTGTCTCTCCACCAGGTATGTTAGACTGTAAATCGCACAAAAGGAGTCTGCCTGTGAGATGTCACTGGTGGATTTGAACTGGCAGAGAGGTGTGGGCTTTGAGTTAACAGTGCAGATCCCTAAGGACTAGCCCACCAGAGTTCCCTAACAACTAACTAGTTAAGAGCAAAGCCTCAACAGCAGTAATAATGACCCCTAGCTTCTTTCTTAATCCAGGGGTTCAGACAGGCCCTGGAGGGGTGCTGAACTTGAAATCACCAGCAAAGGTCCAGAGATGGCTGGATGAAGAAGCAGAATGATTAAGTGGATGCCGTCAGGTGTTCGAAGCAGCCTGAGGCCCTTTCCTTCAAAGAGTCGGTAGCTGTTTTACAGAAACACAAGTAAACGGCACTCCAGTATCAATCAGTTCAGGGACTCCTACTGCATCATGTCACCTTCTTAAAAGCAATGTCCTTTCATTGTTATACAGTCCCCCCACCCCAGACCACTTTACTGTGCAGCTCTTATTCTGGACTCTTGTCACGCCAATAAGACCTAATCATATATTCCTTTTATACAGTTCTCTCCCGGTCTATTTCAATGCCCTGTACATTATTTATCCCCTCTTTTCTTAGTTTTCTCCCACCCTCATGTCAGAAAAAAAAAAACTAATTAGGGGGCAGGAAAATGTGCAACAATGAATGAATGGAAATCCAGGTTCTTTATAAACTTTCATTAAAATCTCAATTAAAAAAATAAAAGAAATATCTGATTAGGTAACAATAACAAAAAACAAGAAATAAAAGCAATGTCCTGGCTCCTTATCCCAGAAGCTCAATTCAAAAAACATCTAGATGTCGCCATTCAAGACTAAGGCAGCCACTTTCAGCACCTGTTTACAGAGCTGTGGGTGGAGTATAGTGGGATGCTGTCTTTGTGTCAAAGCAGAGTTAAAATCTCGTGCAGAGCAAGACCAGGCATTCTGCCAAAGGCCCGGCTCAGGGCAGCACTAAGCAGAGAAGCCCCAACGTGGTTAAGAAACCCACAGAGCATCCTGGGTCAGGCTCAGGTCTCAACACCTTAGTAAAGCTAACCCTTGTGATTCTAACAATAACCCCAAAAGGTGCAGAGAGGTGTGCCAAAAATCCGTAAAGGTGGAGCTCCCCACCATTCCAGTCACCCGATGCTGAAAGAGACACCTCCCAGTCCCTCAGGTCCAGCAACCCTGGGGAAATCCAAAGCGGCTGTGGGACAGCTAATGCTTGAGCATTGCGCGCATGGGGAGTGGGGGGCCCTCACCGTCCACCGGACACTCAGCGTCCCCATCCAGGCTCATAGTTGCTCCTCTCTTCCGGTCTCTGTGTGCAGGACTCCGAGGTCGGGCTGCGGCTGCTGTTGCCCAGGCAGCGTCCTCAGGAGGCTGAGGAGACCAGGGACCCTGGAGAGAGGAAGGGGGGAGGAGGAGGAGGAGGACGCGCGCCCGGGCTGCACTCGCTCGGCCCTCCAGGCCCCAGTGCCACCCCTGCAGCCCAGGGCTCTTTAATAGTGAGAGTCTGCAGGTTGCAGCCCGTGCACTTGGAGCTCTGCTGGCTGCACGCCATGCGGTTGAGGCAGCAGGCGTGACCCAGGGCCAGTGTCCCTCCACCCTGGCTGGGAGCGCCAGGTGCACCGGTGGGTACACAGCTGAGAGCACAAGTGCGGGCTCTGTGCCTGCCAAGGACGAGGCAGAGAGAGGGACCCTCAGTGCCCTCCAAGTGCAGAAGCTGAGCTAGGCAGGTGAGTGGACCTTGGCCTAGTGACCTTCCTTCCTTCCTTCCTCCTGGGGTCCAAGGAACCTGAAGCTGACATGACGCCTGCTCCAGGCCACCAATCTATTTTAGGGCAGCTCCTGCGAACCCAAGCCTCTGCTCATTCATTTAACAGCCCCTGACATTTAGAAGTTCTACAAGATGATCACTTGTCCCTATCTGATTTCAGCATTTTCTCTCAGCACAATTTTAAGTTGAGAGTACAGGGAACAGGAGGATAGGTGGTACAGGAAATGAGCAAACTGTCCCCCGCTGTCAAGTGTCTGCTGACCTACACCACGCCTGCAGGGCAGAGTGGAGGTGGCCTGTGCGGTTTCCAAGGCTGTAAATGTTTCCATAAGCTAGCCTCATCCTTCTCTCACTGCTGCTGGTGAAGTCCCATCACCAGCCTTCAAGTTTGCCTTCTTTTTTTAAAATGTATTATTTCTTTATTATTAATAT